TTATTATAATATTAATAAAAATACATAATAAAATAAAATATTAAAATCAAAATATATCTTACAGTATTAATATCATCTTAATATATTTAAAGCCACGTCATAATTAAATATAAGAATCTGTGATTTTTTAAACTTTATTTGGTTATTTTATGGATTAATAATAACGAGGGTGATCTAGCACTAGTAGGGCGTAGATTTTTTCAGATATTCCACGTGTGATTACACTCATACGCAACTCTGCCACCTCATCAACATTTTTCCATGTAAACAATCCCAAAGTAGTAAATTCCACACAAGCAAAAGGGTTATTTGGTAATATCAATCTTCGTGTCAGCCTCCAGAACCATCTCGTATTCTCATCTCAGCTTTGGTCGGTACCTAAATACATACCCATGATGACCGTATCTCTTAAAATCCCAGAAAATACCCCTACACAAACACAAAGTCAACCATATGATAGAAGGTTACTTTTGTCATTTAATAGTTCCCGCCTCCAGAATGATCTTGTATCCTTCTCCACACTTCCTCTGCTACTCTCGAATTCTCTCGGACCTTTTCTTGATCTCACCTATAAATTCCCAAATGCCATCTTCAGAAACCCATCTGAAATTTCAACTGCAAACGAAAAGCAAGAACAAACCCACAAATTTTCAACGAAAAAGACAATATTCTGTGTGATCTGTAAACTGTTTTCAAAGCTTTTTTCAGTTCATCAATGGCTGCCAAGCAAGAAAAGGCAATCGGAATAGACCTTGGTACAACCTACAGTTGTGTCGGTGTGTGGCAGAACGACCGTGTGGAGATCATTCCCAACGACCAAGGCAACCGCACCACCCCTTCTTATGTCGCCTTCACTGATACTGAACGTCTGATCGGCGATGCCGCCAAGAACCAGGTTGCCATGAACCCACAAAACACCGTCTTCGACGCTAAACGTTTGATTGGCCGGCGCTTCACTGATCCTTCGGTTCAAAGCGACATGAAGCTGTGGCCGTTTAAAGTTATCTCCGGCCCTGGTGATAAACCGATGATTGTTGTTAGTTATAAAGGAGAAGAGAAGCAGTTTGCTCCAGAGGAGATCTCGTCTATGGTGTTGGTGAAGATGAAGGAGACGGCGGAGGCTTTTTTATCTCAACCGATTAAGAACGCCGTCGTGACTGTTCCAGCGTATTTCAATGATTCGCAGAGGCAAGCTACGAAGGACGCTGGAGCAATTTCTGGGATGAATGTTATGAGGATTATCAACGAGCCGACGGCGGCGGCGATTGCGTATGGATTGGACAAAAAATCGCAACGGAGAGGTGAGCAGAATGTTTTGATTTTTGATTTGGGTGGTGGAACGTTTGATGTGTCGTTGTTGACGATCGAAGAAGGGATTTTCGAAGTGAAGTCCACCGCCGGAGACACCCATTTGGGCGGAGAAGACTTTGATAATCGTCTGGTGAATCATTTCGTGACGGAGTTTCGAAGGAAGCACAAGAAGGATATCAGTGGCAACGCTAGGGCGTTGCGGCGGCTGAGGACGGCGTGTGAGCGGGCGAAGAGGACGTTATCGTCGTCCTCACAGACCACCATAGAAGTTGATTCTCTGTTTGAGGGAATTGATTTCTATGCGACCATCACTCGAGCTAGATTTGAAGAATTATGCATGGATATGTTCAGGAAATGTATGGATCCTGTTGAGAAATGTTTGAATGATGCAAAAATCGATAAGGCTTCCGTTCATGAGGTGGTTCTCGTCGGTGGCTCCACCAGAATCCCAAAAGTGCAGCAACTTCTTGTCGATTTTTTCAACGGGAAGGAGCTTTGCAAGAGCATAAACCCGGATGAAGCGGTGGCGTACGGCGCAGCTGTACAGGCGGCGATTCTCACCGGAGAAGGAGACGAGAAAGTCCAAGACCTCCTCCTCCTCGACGTCACCCCTTTGAGCCTCGGCCTAGAAACCGCAGGCGGTGTCATGACTGTTTTAATCCCGAGAAACACTACCATTCCGACGAAGAAGGAGCAGATTTTCTCGACGTATTCAGATAATCAGCCGGGTGTTTTGATCCAGGTCTACGAAGGAGAACGAGCAAGAACCAGAGATAACAACCTCCTCGGAAAATTCGAGCTGACCGGAATCCCTCCTGCTCCGAGAGGCGTTCCACAGATCAACGTGGCCTTCGATATCGACGCAAATGGGATATTGAATGTTTCGGCGGAGGACAAAACCGCGGGAGTGAAGAACAAGATCACGATCACAAATGATAAAGGGAGATTAAGCAAAGATGAGATCGAAAGGCTGGTTCAGGAAGCAGAGCGGTACAAGGCGGAGGATGAAGAGGTGAAAAAGAAGGTGGAGGCGAGAAATGCGGTGGAGAATTACGCATACAACATGAGGAATACGGTGAGGGATGAGAAGTTTGCGGCGAAGTTGGAGGCGGAGGAGAAGAAGAAGATCGAGAAGGCGGTGGAGGAAGGGTTGGAGTGGCTGGAGAAGAATCAGCTGGCGGAGGTGGATGAACTAGAGGATAAATTGAAGGAACTGGAAGGAGTTTGCAACCCCATCATCGGGAAGATGTATCAAGGGGGTGAAGGGCCGATGGGTGAAGACGGTGGTGCTGCTGGACCCAAGATCGAAGAAGTTGATTAAGTTGAAGCGTTTAGTGTTTGTGGTCTGTTGTAATTCTAAATAAAAAATAATTAGAAATAGTTAGTTGAGTTGGTACTGTTCTTCTCCTTTTGTAATTATATTCACATATTATTTTTTTTTTTACTTTTCTTGTCTTCAAATATTATATATATTTACTTAATTTTTCTTTTCTTTTCAAAAATATTTATTAACTTAAAATATTTTAATTTATTTAAACACTTTTTGTTAAATTATTTACCCAAACACACACGCTTATTATTACCAATACTATAAGTCAATAAGTTGATGTATAATTGTTGTATGTTTCAGCTTGTTTACTAGTGAATCACGATGAGTTTCATGCGAATGTGAAAATGTGTTTAGCCTGAACCAGTGGTGGTGTTGCAGAAATTCAATGCTCTCCTTTAAACAACCAATTTCTCTCTCTCATTTCAATCAAAACTCTTCCATTTCCGCCTTGACTTCCCTAATTCCTTCATCTCACGCGGTTGCAGCATCACCTGCCGGTACGGTTATTCTCGACAAGGGGATAGTAGGCGGCCTAAGCAGAACAGTTATGATGACGACCCACCCCTTGATATCTCCAATATTAGGTATTGCTACGATTTTCGATCGCGAGTCATGCATGAAGACGACTGAATTTTAAATAACCTGCTGAGAGATTACCAACATACTTGCAAAATCCCAAACGAAAATCGTTAATTAATTTCTCCCCCAAGTGCTACCTATTACGCATTATTGAAATTTATATAAGCAGTTTCTTGGTCATATATATGCTCTAAAAACCGTATGTATAAGCATAAGCCTTAAGTTTTAGCACATATGTTAGAAACACTTGTTTGAAATGCTTATAAGCAGGATTATACCTATGTGAATGAGCATCTGAACTAGAATTAGTTTGCACCCTTTTTTCTACAAGTATGAAGTGTTCTTTCTTTTCTGCTGTTTGTTGGTTCAAAATAGGTCAAAGTACTGTGAGGCTTATTGATGAGGAACAAAATATGGTGAGTGTTTCTGAATCACTTCCTTTTAACATCTGTGTTTTATGTTTCTATGTTGGGACTGATTGGAGTGTTTTACTAGGTTGGTGTAGCATCTAAAACTGCTGCTATTCAGATGGCTGAAGATACTGAACTTGACCTGGTATGTGTGTAGTTAGTATCTCATGTTTCAATTGCTTCTGAAATTATTATAAACCCTTTTTGACCTATACCTTATAGACTCCTTTAATTGTTTCATCTTCTTGCTTTGCTATGATGGTAACCAGTTTACTTTGCATATTTTCCCAAGAAATCTAGCAGTGCATTTAAATTTAGTAAGTATGACATCTAGTAGAATGGCATTTAACGCTATTAACTTATCTATCTTTGAACTTCTCAAAGCTGAAGGTGTCATGGTATTCACCCGTGGGCATTGTAAGAATAAGAGGATGCCCTTGTTGTTTTCTTAAGTTCCCAACTATTTATGGTGCCTTCTTGAAGCTCATCTTCAAAGTTTACAATGCAAAGTAGACATCAGTCTTGAAAGTTCACCTTAGCATATGGGTATTGGGGCAAAAAGATGACACTCCTGTGATATCTTGAATTTTCGCCCTTTTATGTTGTTTTCCCAAGTATTAAAGATCTCACATAGGAAAAAGAGCAACAAAGGTGTAGATCCTTACTTAACACATTCTAATACTGCAAGCTTGGTTTAAAAATGCGCGCATAATGCGCTTTGATGAGTGATGCACCGGAGGTAACGCATCAGAGGGGTTGATGCGAAGCGATTCCATGATGCTCTCCTCTGCATCACACGATGCATGCATCGGTGCATCCTGTATGTTTCATATTTGGGCTTTTTTTTCATTTTTTAGAGGTTTTTAGTTGGGCTTTTTGTAGATTAAAATAGAACGTAATAATGACCTAATAAAATAGAAGCCCCTCTCAAGTCTCAAGTCACATATTAGATTAAGAACATATACGTTGAGTCGTGACCTAATAGAATAGAATAGAAGCAGAAGTAGTTTGTGTGTTTTGTTATTCCGATTCACGAACTATTAGACATTTACTTGTGTTCTTCACGATCGTGGTTTGTGTGTTTTGTTATTCCGATTCACGAACTATTAGACATTTACTTGTGTTCTTCACGATCGTGGTTTGTGTGTTTTGTTATTCCGATTCACGAACTTTTTAAGATTTTAATGCCACTTTTTTAACTACTTTATGTTATAAATGAAGTATTTTGATATGTAAGTATTTTTAAGGTAGAAATTGATATGTAGAAATAATTTATAAGTACTTTTTGATTACTAGGCGCATCATGCATCGGCTTCCAGGACCCTTACCGCCTCGAACCACATCGTGCTTTTTAAAACCAAGACTGCAAGCCTATTATTTACGAGTTAAGTGCAAATGTCCTCAAATGATCACACTAAAAAGTGTTTTTGCATGGTTTTTCGGCAAATTTAAAACATGATTATTACAGGAAAGACAAATTGGCAATTAGAAGCTTTTACCTTCTCTCTCATATCTAACTTGAAAATTTTATTTGTGCTCGAGTATTAATCAATGAAAATATAACTACATACTGACCTGTCTCCTATTTTCATTGTAATTTGTCTTTACTTCTGAGATGTTCTTGTGTTGTACACTGAAGGCATAAAGGTCAGTTAACAGTTGCAGCCTGCGGGCATAAAATTTTCTATGCCTCTTGTTTCTCTTGGCTATTACCTTCGTGAGTCTCTTCCTACATATATAATACCAATGAGAGATCAGCAATTATGACCATGGAATTTCATTCATGCAAAGTATTCTAACATGATAAACGTAATAATTGTTTCTTAAAAAGTACAAATTCACATAACGTAGTTGCTGTAATTATACAAACTTGTAACGCCCTATACTTAGATTATAAATTTCTGGCAAAAATTCGGCATGACCCGTTCGAAAAGTCATGTTTTGCCATTTTTTTAAACCCGTAAGCATTTGCAAAAGTAATGATTGCAAAATGAATGACCATACAAAAGCCATGATTAATAAGGTAGCGTTTGGTGCGCAGACTGGATGAGACAGGACAGGATTAAATCGTCTGTCCTATGTTTGGTACGACTAAACAGGACCGGATAAAACTGTTAAAATGACTAGATTGCCCCTAAATGCTGTTTAATGTTATTTTGCATCATATAATGATTGTAAATGACACAAATCAAACCATAATATATTTAAATATTTACATCTATGATATTTATACTATTTTCAAAATTATATACACTTAACACAACCATTGTAAAAATGTACATAATTTAAAAATATTCCAACACATATCTATTAGGCATTTCATCAATAGATTGTATTTGACAAAATCATATATCTTTGATAGTGTAATACAAACCCTAAATAAATAACCCAAACAAATCCTAAATCATCAAAACCTTGAATCAAATCGTCCCTTCAATGGTGGAAGAACACTTGAAGACAACACATTGACATAATGAGAAACTCTGAAACAGAAAGTGGTTGGCCATTTGACCAACTCCAACCCGAATCTTGAAAGACTACACAGATTGAGGATCAGAAATGAAGAAACTAGCCATGGACACCAATTTAAAACCAAACATTGATTCTCAAGGATAGAACTTACAACTACAAACTTCAAAGTAGTACCACTTCCAATTAGATACATGAACATACCCACATGGCTAGCTGAATGTTGGGTACCACCATTGACTCCTCTTCAGATTCTGCGACATTAAGAAGTAAGCATCAAACGCTATAAACACAAAACTACTAAATTCTATGAACATTAACATTCTCAATCGTGTCAATAAGGATTCCAAGTGTAAACTACTATACCTGGATCAACAGGAAGATATTAATCTTTACCGGACAAAATGTAAAAATTAAAACCAAATCAAAATCAAAAGAAGCTTTATCCTCTTGATACCGAGAATACGTTGCTCGCCAAGAAGAAGAAAACAGGGAAAACAGGGTGAGAAAGATTGAAGCAATCGATGAAACCGTACCTGTCAATTGGAGCAATCGATTGAAGAATATGACCGACAGAGATGATGGAAGACAGGGTGAGAAAGATTGAAGCAATCGATTGAAAATAGGGTGAGAAAATTGAAGCAATCGATGAAACCGTACTTGTCGATTGAAGCAATCGATTGGAGAATATGGCCGGAAGATATGATGGAAGACATGGTGAGAAAGATTGAAGCAATCGATTGAAAATAGGGTGAGAAAGATTGAAGCAATCGATGAAACCGTACCTGTTGATTGAAGCAATCGATTGAAGAATATGGCCGAAAGAGATGATGGAAGACAGGGTGAGAAAGATTGAAGCAATCAATTGAAGGATATGGCCGAGAGAATATGATGGAAGACAGTGGCCGGGAGCTTTGAAACCATACCTGTCAATGGAGACGATGGATTTGTTTTAGGTTTAGGTTTATTTGAGAGGGTATAAAAGTAATTTTGTAATTTGTCCAAGGTTGTTCCACCGTTTTTGGTGGAACAAAAAATCTCAAGATTTGTCCCACTAAAATTAAAAGTAGTTCCACCTTGTCCTATGCTTTTTTTTGTCCATGACATGTCAAACATGAGATTTTTTTTTGTCTCGTCTCGTCCCATGTAGTCTGCATACCAAATGCACCCTAACTCGTCTTTATAAAGACGACTATTTATAAGGTATAATACTAATTCATATTCTCCCAAAAATACATTCTCCCAAACTAGATTAATCTTTTAAAAGTCCCAAGCATTGCATCATCTAATGAATTTACCTGCTAGCTTTATAATAACCAAGAATGTTGCTAGCACAACCACTTGAACCAGTTCCTGAGATGGACGTCGACAAACAAAACAAATCAGGCTACATGTCTAGTGAATTCAAGAGTTTTCACAATACAATATTTCAAGTAATAAGTAATTTATACTATCAAACAAAAATGCATGACTTACATATGATTGATGTGACGTGTCAAACAAATGTTAAATTCATCCTAAACATTATAAGTTTGCAGTCAATCAATATTTACAAAGTTCTATAAATACCACACAGTATGGGGGTGACCCATAACAACCGGAATCAGTGGAGGAGCACTACCCAGCATTCCACTTATCCGTTAGGCTAATTTCGGTTTAATCACCATTGCGCAATGTGTCCACCTGACACTATACCTATTAGCCGAATACCTATCACATATATCCATGCACGGTACTCCAATACATTACCAGTGGAAGCAACCCATTTAACTGTAAAGGGAGCGGCCCCAATACAAACGCAACAAAGGCGGGTGACCCTAAGTCGCCAAATCCAAATCTACCATTCTCATGTCAGTGAGTAAATAAATAACTCACAATGCCCCATTTATGCAATGTAAGATTTCCTCCTTTGGTTACAAAGCATGTTTATTTAAAAAAAATACATATCTTTCCAAGTTACCAAAGTATTTCCTACATACTTTATCAAAGAAACAATGCATACTTAATATGTATAAAGTCACTTTGTATAACCATCAATACCTTCATTTCATAACATCATTTAAAATCATGCATTTTCTACTTTAATTACAAAAACACTTCCAACAAAATAAATCATATACAGGTAATTACCTTTGACGTGCACCCCATTAAAATCTACTTGAAACTCACCTTAGCCTATTTAGTTGAGATCCCGCCGGTGCCCAACTTGCTTATCCGCTGTGCTACCTAAACAATCCACACACGGTTCTCACATCAATACAAACATCCTAAACAAAAGATTTAGACAACTTACTTATCTTAATATACATACCATCAAGAACCACTCATAAAAAATGGACTTTGAACCTTTTCATACATGGGTTTAAAAGAAACAAATCTTCTATTTGAGTCTAAAACAGACAGCTCTGCAAAAACCCATTTTTTTGACCTATTTAGAGCCCTAACTACCTCATAATCAAAACATATGGATTGTAAAATCCTTCTCAACAGTTCCATATTGATATTACACGTCTAAATCCGAGTTACGAGTGATTTTATACAATTTTTACAATTTCCAGCATCAAAATAAGTTAATCCGGTGACTTACTCTTATTTCTTCCGAGGCTCTTGGCTTACATTCTAACCCCCAAAACATGCTTATCATACATATTGAAATCTTCATGAAAATGTTAAGATGTTTGTTATGGTTTGTTTCTTGGTATCATTAAGATGTTATTAGATGGATTGAAGAAGAAAATTTCCATTCAAGCATGTTTTGATGATAGATTAAAGGTTATGTTCAAAACATTTGACTTTTTCCAAAAAGAAAAAGTCAAACTGTTATGCTTAATTTTTAAAATTGAGTCGTTATATGCAAAATTATGGATTGAAGTTCGGTGGATATAGTTATGATAGGTATATAAAGGTGTTACATTGATTATTTCAATGTTTCTTATAGGTTTTGATGGAGTTTCAAAGTTAAAAGAATGTTTGAGTTCGGTTTGATCAATATATGAAAGCTTATGCATTAGTCAGGTTCTAAGTGCAAAAACATTTGGGACATCCTATAATTGGTCCTACTCTTGATGCTATGCTAATTAGTTATTGACTGAACTCTGAAGGCTTCTTTTTCTCATTTGACTATGTTATACCTGTTAAACTGGGAGTAGAGGATGATCAAGCAACCCCCGGTACATTTTTCTACATGACAATTTCACCAGGTTAGACCTGCTAAGTTATCACCATGGGTTGGGGTAGGTAGGTTCGGAATACAGGTAACAACTTATGTAGCCTATGGTCCATCACCGAATCTAAACATTACTCTTTGAGACACATGTGATATAGAGTCAGTTACATCCGGAACAAGGAGAAAATTCATTAGGTGTAGACGTATAGTGGGAGAAACAAAATATGACCCTAAATTCTCTATTTGCACTTCTTGCATTGATTAAAAAGTTAAAAAGTATATCGGCTACCCCATTCTGAATTATACTATGATTCTAGAGATAGAGCTATAATAATGAAAACTAAGAAATGCAAATTGTGTTCGACTGTTTTCAATGCCATTATGATATCAGGGGATGCTTGGTTGGAGGTAACAAGGGCCAGGGTGTGGGGAATGAAAATGAAAATCACTTATGATGCCTGGTTTTATGCAATGGAATGGGACGTTACCAGATAGGGGTAATGAAACATTCCTCAACAAAATTGAGAGGAGGAGGAAGGGGGGATGGGACTCATTCCCATTTTCATTCCTCATCATTCCCGTTACATTCTCATTTCCATTCCTTGAAACAGACCAGACACCCCTTAGTTTTTTTGGGTTACGATATACATTTTTTTTTGCACGAGGGCATGCAGGCTCGTTTTGCATCTAGACGATAATCCTGGAGCATCAACATCCATATCATTCTTATTATTAGGCCATCGAGCATCTAGCTTTTTGGATTTGATCCCATCCTCTAGGTGCTAATAGCTTAGAGGTCATGGGTTCAAGTTCCCTTGCCTTCTCTCTAAGAAAACATCCTATTTGTTTCATCAATCTAGATGTCCTACATAAGAACGTAAAAGACAATGATGATATTAGGGAAACTAACAATTGGTATTATGATTCTGGTTAGAGATCATTTCATTTTGATTCTTGTGTCAAAATAGTAAGATATATTAGGTTAACTAGAGAGATCAAGGTGGTCGGCTGACGCTAGTGTGAAGGCCTATCCCATCCCCATGCATGATCACTACAACAAAAAGGGGTTTATAGGACCCTCATTAGTGTCCTAATAAGGTAATTAATAGGACTTTTAAGTTTATAGGACAAATAATGTGTGTGTCTCATCTAAAGGTGTTGTATTAGGTTAATGGGATAAATTTGAGTGTCCTAAAAAACTCTAGGATTATGATACAAATTCCATAGTCCTATAAAATGGTTTAAGTAACACTAAAAAGTGTCCTAATAGACTATAATATAGGACATTTTATGTTGTCACAAAATGTTTACATTTAAAAACAAATATGGGCGTCCCAAAAAATGCTTTTATAATACAAAATTCAATGTCGCTAAAACAATTATATAGCACCAAAATATGTGTCAATAAGTTATATAATTATGAAACAAATTCTAGTGTCCTATAAAATGAACTAAGTAATACTAAAAAAGTGTCCTATAAAATGAACTAAGTAATACTAAAAAAGTGTCCTATAAAATGAACTAAGTAATACTAAAAAAGTGTCCTAATAGGCTATAATAATTAACACTAAAAGCGTCCTAAATGACTATAATGTGAGATGCATCATCCAATTATAGATATAATTTATAAGACAAGTTGTTTGTAATTTTCCAGTACTGCAATGAGACCATTTCAATGTGAGACCAGATACATATTGTTTGTATTGGTTCGGCAAGCACCTCCCATGAGTTGTCCAGGTCTTTGTTCAAGGCAGTCTCATTGACCTAGAGCCATAAATCAAAAACAGAAAGCTATTAGACAATGCACAACTCTGCTTTTTCAGTAAAGAAAGATGTATTGAATTCAACTCCAATATTAAACGAGCAATTTGAATGCATATCAGAACTCAAGAAGTAAAGGTTGTGGACCATAATGGAACAATCGAAGGGTAACCTTGACGCAACAAGATCCTTGGCCTTAAAAAAGTTGGGGAGGGAGTTTTTGTACATAACGTTGGCTTTGCATTTTGTAAACGCATTATTTTGGTGCTTAAAACCCATGGTTGCAAAGTTAGTGGCTGTTTACCAACACAAATTGGGTAAGCGCTAACCAGGTAAGAGTGTGTTCTGGGTCAACACTAATCACTGAACGAGTAAGAGTTCCTCCCTTAGCTTACCAGGTCAGCATCATGAACTGGTAAGAGGGGCTTGGTAAACAACATCTCTGACCGGRTAACCCCCTATTACCCGGTAAGAGGCGATAAGTAGGTAATAAACAACTAGTAACCTTGAATAATATATACACCTCTAAATAACCAAATCTACTCATTTGAACAGTTTAAGGTTTCATTGCATCTTAATGATATGTAGGCTAAAAAGAGGTCCACAATTAACGACAAAGATCAATAAAAACAGGGGCGATCAAGCTTTCTTCATTTACATTCACTAAAAGAAATTAAAACTGGAATATGCAAAAGCAAAACATAAGAATCTAAGTGCCATCACATACTTGGGTCACATATGGGTTGAAGCTTAACTCAAGAGAGGTTACAAACTGTTCTAAAACATAGGGCCAGTTCACATCAGGATAAGCCACAACATGTGCATTGTAGTTTCCAACTGGGTACTTTGTGTTTGCAATACAATTACATACACCTATGAAAAGAAGATATAATCATGATTAATAATCCTTCACGCTATTGTGGCGTTAAGTTGTAGTTAACATCATAAACACAGAAAAGTTGTAGGGAGCTGCAGTCTACAAGCCTTTTGAATCCTAGTTTTGGTTTATGTTGCTTGTTCTCATGTTGAATCCTAGTTTGATTTTATGCAGGTCTGTTCAGACTCTAAGGTAAATTTCTAGATAGCTTGTGCTTCTTGTACAACAACACTGTGATCGTCGGTCGGGCTTGCATAAGCTGATATTATAGCTTGCTGCAAATCWGTTTTGGTTTATGTTCATTTATTTCAAACTCCATATGCCACTATCTGATCTGCTGCTGTATAATTACCACCTACTTATCCTGAAGATACAAGCACCTTTTTGAGTGATTTACTATTGCTACAGTTTAGCCTAGGAATAGTTTGTCCAGATTTCATGCGAAWATCTTACCTTCAAGTCTTGATGTTTGTCTTTGAATGGGAGTTGGTTTGCACAAAATGGTTAACAGGGAAAGATAAATAAAAATGGTTGGTTAGTTAGTTTGGATGTGTTATGAGACAGGGCTCGACACTGCACACGATTTTGGAGTTAACACAATTTTGGAGTTCCTTGTTTAGGTTATATCAGGTACCAGGAGTAGAGGTCTGAACTGTGAAGGCAATAAACATAGGATGGCCAAACACAGAACAGGACGCAATTAGAGAATCTCAGCCTCGAAAATTTAACAGAAGGAAGTAGCTTATATGACAGACCACAAAGTAAGCATAAAGTCMTAAGAATATGAAGGGAAAGACARTCAAAGAAAACACATAAAGATGAATAACAAGAAAGGTAACATACAGAAGAAAAATGTCTCATAATGGTACAACATTAGGCCAGATCAAAGATCAATAGCCCAAGTACCACATAATTAGACAAAGCATACACATACATGCTACTTTTCCAACTTCATAATTGACATGAATTCTTTCTTAAGATGTGGTAGAGACAGAATTCTTTGAATTCTTTGGATACTGTCATAATGAGACAAAGCATACACATACATACTCATAATGAATTCTTTCTTACATAATAGAAACAATACCTTCTGTGGATACTTTGGATCTCCTATCCTTTGACTTAGTGTTATAAACTCCAGCTGCTCAGTGCCAGAATCTGCTAGGAKACTGTCACCATGACAAAAGAGAAAAGAGAAGTAAGTAAATTGCCAAAATTAAAAACGTCAATGCATCATCTTCTGTCAATGCATCATCTTCTATTTCAATGCATTATCGGAATTCAACTAAATTTACACCTTCTGTGATAAAAGGAATTCATGCTTAAAGCAACAACTTGCAATAGCTTTATCTCATACAAGATCAAGATGTTTAGTAGCTTTATCTCATACAAGATCAAGAATATATACCTTAGCAGAACCTTTATTTTCCTTGTCCACAAAAGAACGATATCAAACAGATCCCTGGAATAAACACTACAACAAAAAAGGAATTACTTCAAAGCAACATAGTGGGTTAAGAGATAATTGTGCAGCCACTTCCGCCTCAACTGACTGGTTTCCCTCTCAACCTACTTTGACGGTCAATAAGTGACAATTAGTCCATTAAGACAACATTTGGTACACACACCAGACTAAATTAGACTGGATAGGACTAATGTCTGTCTGGTGTTTGACAAAGCCTCATACAACTGCAAGAAAGACGAAAGGGGTTTCAACAAACCTTWGTTACTAAAGAGCATATCGAGGATGCCATTGCCTGCATGACATCAACTGCCGAGCAGATGGCATCTTTGGACATCCGCCTGTAAAAAGTAAAAAAATCTTACCAATAACTTTCAAAGCTGCAACATGATACCCCTTACATTTCTATATCTTTTTAAAGGCACAGGACATAAAATACCTTTGCACCGTCAACAAGTGGAAGACGCAGAGTGCTAGATTCCAGAGAGACAATAGCCCCAGACAAGGAGACAGAGTGATCTCTTTCACCTTGATCCCACACCTTCAAMCATGGTATCTGCATTTGTCAAATAAATATGATCACAAGATTGCACTATGCTAGCAGATAACTAAAAGATACCACTACTAATGTAATGAACTGTAGAGCAAGTATGCATCTCCATATGTTGATTAGAATATGAGAACCATCCTAACAATGGAAAACCACAAAAACGTCAATCAAACACTCAACAGCTGGCTTCTATTTTATGCTACAATATTTTTATGCTGCTGTTTGGGAGCAACCTGTACCTGACTTGCTGTGTTATCATCAGTTTTTATTTCCTCATTTATTTATTGAGATCTCCACTAGTTTAGGACCCTTTTTGTATTTATCAGACTCTAATTAGGGCTTTTGATTTACATCTGTTTTTAAGGCTTTAGTAGTTGCTACTATTTTGGATTAAAGGCTGGAATTACTTGGTGGTTTATGAGTTGTTGGCTACTGTTTTTAATAGATCTGTTTCTATGCATCTATGCGTGGTTATGGATTTGCTTCTTGTTGCCTTTAACTATGGTACCATTTCTACCACTGCCAGCTTCTAGTTTTAGACAAATACTATTTGTTTTACTATCGCTGTTGTGGTTTTCTGTGATCATATCCCCATTGTTCATCATGTCAATGACTCTTGCACGGTTGAAAATATTGTTATATAGTTAGAAGATTTAGCAGAGCAATCTAGACAAAAGGGGCAGCAATTAGTTTTGAACCTGCAGTCTAAACTTTTATGTTGATTCAAATCTCTGTCTTTTTTCTTTGTCAATGAAGTATCTATATATTAAAAATATTTTTCTTATACTTCATTTGCTTATTTATGTCATTGACTACTTGTTTAAGTCCTATGGTTGTATGATTTATGGATTGTTTAATGGTCCCATAAGTTACAGTTTACTGTATATGATCAAAGAATGATCTCTCTCATAGAAGATTGGTTATTAGATGGAAGCCCATAGGTTTCACATGGATATCAAAGCCTAGTTCCAACCTGCAGAGTTCATTAGTCACTAGTGCAAGGTGGATGACACTTTCTGCTAAAGCATTCTAAGTAGTAGAAACTCATATAGCACCTTCTTCAACATCCTAAAAAACGTCCAATTGACTATCAACTGAAGCAACAATGAGAAAGTAGGTAYAGGGGATACAACGTATTTGTGCATATAATTTCCCAATATGTATTTCAATTTCAATTTCCAATATGTATAAGCATGTAGTTGTGTTCCGTTTCTTCACCTACAACTCATGAGCACGTACAACTCAGGAGCAGAAGGTTTGAATTCATCATGAGCACGTACAACTCAGGAGCAGAAGGTTTGAATTCATCTATTGTAGTCAATGAAAATGAAAATGTTACCTATAAGCAGAAGGTTCGTCGTCTGTTGTTCGTCGTCGTCGATCGATCGCAAACAGTGAGGGAGAGGGAAGAGTCGATCGTAGCTTCGTAAGTAGGTACAGGGATACAGCGGGATCGTAGTTCGTCCAGGGGAGTTGTGAAGCCGTGAAGGGGAAATGGTAAGGTAGGAAATGGGTTTAATAAAATGGGCTGATTTAAATCATATATTAAAAAGCTTTTGACATTTGGCCCTAGTTAAAAATAATGATTTTAAATATAATATGTTATTCATATTATTTTAAATTCTAACAGGACATTTAAAGGTGTCTTATTAGCTTTTAAACACTAATACAACAATCAAAATTTTTTTATTAACTTTTAAAATTAACACGACACTTAAAAATGTCCTATTAATTTCTAAAATAATATGACACTATTAGTCTTTAAAATAATACGACACTTAAAAGTGTCCTATTAGACCATAAAATAATATGACATTCAAAAGTATCGTATTAGATTACATGATAGGACGTCAAGATATGTTAATAAGACATCAAAATTGAGAGTCATATAAGATTAAATAAACTAATGTGTCGTGTTAGCCTTTTTAAAGGACGGTTTCCGAAAAGTGTCTTATAAACCTCTTTTTGTTGTAGTGATGGTAGGTTTGTAACTCACTTCATTCGCAATTTCGCTGATGCTAGCAACATATATTATGTAATTTGTAGTACCTTTGAAATTATATTGCTATTAAATCCCGAAATCATAATGAGCAGCAATGGCTTTTTAAAAGATTTTTTGTGAGATATTTTTAAACTTCATGTGAACCATTCTGTTCTTCCTTAATGGAAATACTTCACTTTTGTAGGTTATATTGTCTCCAGAGGCAGATCCTCCTGTTGTCAAGTTGATGGATTACATCTCCTTTTTTTATATCTAGCAGGGATCAGTTTTCAGATGCATGAGAATATTAGTGGTCATGTTAACCAAGTTAACGACCCACAAAGGGAAAATAAGAAAAAACTTGTGATATCTTTTCCACACCCCTATTCTTTTCCCAATTATGCATCCCTTCACATTTATATAGAACTTTGTCTACAAAAAGGATTCAGGACATGTTGCTGACCCACAATGTCATCTTACATAAGCTAAGCTTTTCTTTATTAGCACAATCAGGAAACAGATATTTAATCCTGGTAATCCTTTGCTTATGTTATGTGGTCATTGACTTACCTGCAAAGTACACCATCTTTCACCCTCTTATGTTTGACTTAATTATAGTTTCCCATCTTTTGGATATGATTCTTTTTACCCCTTGTATCCAAATGTTATTTTATTTTTTGTTAAAAGGAATTATGATATTGTGGACGATGCTGCTGTCAGTTCAATTCTATTTTTTTATTTGTCCTATAAAGCTTTAGATCCTATTCGTAATGCATTCGTCATATTAATCCGACAAATTTCACAGCAAATATTAGTATGAGCAACAAAAGAAGAAAAGAGATCAGCAGAAGAAAATAGTTGTATTGCTATGAATTCGAGTATCTGCTATTCTAAAGGTAAAGGAATCTTACTTACTCCTTTAGAAGAAAGAAAAGTCAACTGAGACCCATGTAGGAGCATGAGCAGGACCGCACAATCCGTGTTCATAATTCTGAGGAAGGACAGTAAGCTGCTAACCTTCATTTTCTTTCCTTAACATTTAACACGTTTTTAAAAGCATGTATAGCTCTAGTTCACTAAACATGTAAGCAAAATAGCAGTTTTCCTTTCTTGTCTTGAGTGCTTTTTTTTTTTCTTACATTTTTTTGTAAGTGAAGGGGTCTTCATGGAAACAATTGTTTTATTCTTTGGAGTAGAGGACAAGTATGTCTATATCCCCAATCCTGGACCCCATCTCCTAGTGGTTTTTATTGGGCTCGTTTGGTTTTGTTTGGTTTCTCGTAGCAATAGCAGTAACCCTGGTATAATTGTTGTATGTTTCAGCTTGTTTAGCCAGCCATAATAGTGAATTACGATGAGTTTCGTGCGAATGTGAAAATGTGTCTAGTCTCTAATCTTACATAGGGCTCGTATCAATTTTCTGAAGATATCGTTATCAAGACTTTTAAGAAGTCAACCGAGTAGGTTTCCATCACCATAGTTGAAGATCAGGTACGATCTTGTTCGATTTGTTCTGATACCATTTTGTTAGCTACTCATTCCATCCCATGAAAATTGTAATCCCATATTGTATTGGCAAATCTTCACGTATAAATTATCTATTTGCCTATGGTTACTGTTACAAATTGGTTCATAAGATTACCTTATATTGTCATTCTTTAAGGATATTTTAGATAAACAAATCAATGATCAAACACTTTTACGTTGCAGTTTCATGGATGAACGAGTTTTCTTGCTGGAGAATGCGCATGATTCCGGGGAACTTGATGTGAAGTCGAACACTGATAACTTATACAACACGATTGTCAAAGATGTCACCAAGTCTATAACTGAAGATCTTAAAATACGCTACTAAAACTCGTTCACTCACCACACTAACAGAGCAAAGAGTTGGCTTGATGTTCTTTTTCCTGGCTTGTTCATGAATTTGAGCTAGAAGTCCTACACGATTGGAGAATGTCAAACGAGTCAAACTCAGACCAGGGTTCTGAGCTTCTGCTCAGTCAAAAGGAGGAGGTGAGAGTGAGAACTCGTTGCCATTGCTACCAAACTCAGATTCTTGGCACCGAAGTTACTGTTTCAGATGCATTATCATGTTCCACATTTAGAGAAAAGGTTTGACAGATAAGAAACCCACCTGCATCAGTTTACAACTAACAATCAAACCTTTTTTTCTTTTGGCTATTATTCATTTGAATACAACAATATATACCCTTTTTTCTAATAGTGGTGGCTGTATTGCAACTTCTTGCTTCTTAGGAAACCTATATATACCCATCCTATTAGTTGCACTGCTAACAAGTACCCTATACGAATGACGAATAGCTAGAAAGCACGCCCCGTTTTGTAGCCGCTCAACCACAACCCATATCGAGTCATTCTTCTCAACATTTCGTTACTAAATCCAAAGTTCCAAACTGGAATGTCCAACTGTTGTAAGAATCCACTAGCCTGTTGGTGTTCTACTTTCAGTTGTAGACATGTGAGGCTGTTAAAAGTCATCGATTCTCTGCCACCTAAGTTCTTCCCATATATCTCCTCCATCAAAGAATTGTTATTCCTAGACTTTTAGGAGCAATTTGAATTACAAGTCATGATTGTGCTGTTTTTATATGGTAGCAAGTGCCCCCAATACTTTCTCTAATGATCATCAGTACTATGCTATGTATTTTTTTGATTTGTGCAATTGCACTCAATACAATATATATATATATATATATATATATCAGATTACATGATGATCATTACCAAGGGTATTGAAGGCATTTACAACCATATCAAAACTGCACAATCCTATCTTGTAATTAATCCTAAATCTAGGGGTAACAACTACCAATATCACTAATTTAATGCAGGAGATTGATATGGGAAGAACTATGTGGCACCTTGTATGCGTGTCAGTATTTTTTTGCTCACGAGACGAGTAAAGGGTAATTTTGGGTTCACCTATGATCCTCCCTCGACTATGTGAGAGTTGAGAAGCAACATCTGTATATGCAGTTTTTCCCTTGTATTTCTTTTTCTATATTTAAATCCATGACCATAAAGGAGTAAGTAAGATTCGTCATTGCTCCAAGACTTGCTCATACTCGTGAGATGATGGTAGTAGAAGCAAGTTCATATGTTGGATGCGAACACAAGTCATGGAGGTGTCCAAGTTTGTTTCAATTGTATTAGATGTGTCATAAGGCTATATTCCTTTAGCTGCAGACAACCAAAATTAAGATTAATCAGGTTCTTAGTTATAAAGATAGCAATCTGTTTTTTTTATCATGCAACAAATGGAACAACTTAAGAGACAATAGATCGTTTAGATGTGAGTAGTGACAGCAGTACCAAAGAAGCTCAACGAGTTGATCAAGGGCCAAAAGACATTGATATACCAAAATGAGGGTTGCACATTGTTGAAGAAATTGCTCGATGTTACTTGAACATTAAAGAGTTGCCAATATTGGACCCAATCCTGGAGGCAGTGGTGTTGGACCCAATATAATTTAAGATTACTTACGGGCTGCTTCCTCCTCCTTTTTTAGTAACAAAATGAATCAGAAGTAAGACCAAACTCCTAAAGGGAAATATCCTTATAGAAAGTCAGATGACCAAGATATTGGCGAATACCACATATGATCAATGCCAGACTCTTTCTTTCACAGCTAACCCCATTTTCTTAATGCCGAGACTTTCTCTTTCGTCGAGCGGTCGATGAAGAAGTTGATTAAGTTGAAAGTTAGAAGCGTTTGGAGTGTTTGTGTGGTAGTTGGAATGTGGTCTGATATGGATGTAAATCGTGAGTAATCCTAATTCTAAATAAAAAATCGGTTGCTACTTTATCCAGAATTAGAATTTCGTGTTAAAGATTTCATTTGTGGTAGTCAAGTTGGTAAGTGGTCTGTTCTTTTCATAATATTCTCTACAACTTTTAATCTTTTGTAATTCTATTCACATATTATTTTTATTGACTTTTCTTGTCTTCAAATATTCTTACCGATCTTAATTTTATATTTACAAGTTAAAAAATTGTATATATCGTACATATAATAGATGGTTGTTTATTATATATTTTTAAAAATGAACATTTAAAACATTATCATTTTTTTTATGTTTTTAGAATGAAATTAACAAACCAAATAATAAAATATAATTATTAACGTTTGTTTGACGGTTACAAATATATTATCAACAATAATAAAAGCTCGTTTTTCTTTTACTTACGGTTTTATTTTTAAGTTCTATGATTGTTCGAATATTTTGTATGTTCTTTTTATTAGATGGACGATCTATTTTTGGAAACTTTAATGATATCGTCGTATATTTAACACTTGAGGTAAAAATAAGATAAAAGGACCTAATTAATAATTTGCTGGTTGTGTACCCGCGTAATGTGGTGGGAGCCATGAATTTTAACGATTTTGAAGTTTCATTGGTTTTATTAGAGAAGATTTAATAATGATAAGAGTTACACTTGGTCTTTACATATTAATACAATTTGAATAAATAAGAGTTATGGTTCCAATTACAGTTTATCGATGAACCAGTTTAAAATCCAATATATTTAAAATTCAACATATTTAAATGACTCCACAAATGTGTTCGATTTACACCAAGAACAAAAGAATCAAGAGATCGAGAGTGAGGCCGAGAGTTCTAGAGCAATTGAATGAGAGATGAATGAGATAACTTTTTATAACTCATGATGAATATCAGTTTGAATCTCATCTTGGGGGATGAGGAGAAGACATAGATGTATGAGGGGGTGAATGTGTGAGTAAAAGATGTCAAAAGAATTTTGAAAACATAAAAATAAAAAGTAATAACATGCATTAGTAACTTGTACCATATCTTATTTTAATTGTAGATAAAGAGATTTTAAGACTGAATGCATAAAATAGTAGTACTTAATGCATTATGAGTTATTTTTAGGACTTTATACATAAATGTATAGTATTTTGTGCATTAAAAATTGTTTTTAAGACTTTTGATAAATCTGATTTATAAGATAATATAGATATAGATTTTTGTTGAATAGTATTAATAATTAAAATAACTATTTTTTTATGTATTTTGCCATACCTATATGGCTTTGCATCACATATAGGGACCAAGATGATATTTTTACAAAGTTGAAGGGGGGAACTTGTATTCCATGAAAAAAAAGATGAAAATTATAAATTCAATTAGCACCCCTCAAGAAACAAGAAAGTTTGCATCACATATAGGGACCAAAATGATATTCTTACAAAGTTGAAGGGGGAACATGTATTCCATGAAAATTATAAATTCAATTAGCACCCTTCAAGAAACAAGAAAGTTGAAAAATTGAGACAAAATTTCAAGTATAAAATAGTAGAAAAATGATGAATGCGCAGTATCACACCATCCAGGGTTTCTCTCTCTCCTCTCTTCTTTCTCTCACTTCCTCCAGGAGAGAGAAAGCTCCTTCCCTAATCTCTCTTTTTCTCCATCTATCCCTATAGAAAACCCTATCTTTCGTACAACATCAAGATTTGTTTGAATCTTGATTCTACTGACTTACCTTTGTTCGTTAATCGCTGATTCAACTTTTGTGGTTTTTGTTCGATTTTAGCAAAAGAGAGAAACAATCACGGTATGCAGGCTGATCAGGCAGTGTTGAGCTTGAGACCTGGTGGTGGAAATCGAGGAAGAACTTCTGGCCCTCGTTTTGATTCGTTGGCTTTCGGTTCATCAGATCTTCCAGCCCTTCGTCCTCATGGCGGTGCTGGTGCTTCCTCTCTTGCCGCCTTTAAGGTTGTTACTTCTTTTTACCCTAATTGGATCTGGGCTTTCTATTCCTTTTGAAGCTCATCTTTTTGTGGATTTAGCTCAATTTTATTGCATCTAGTTGATACATCTGTTGCTTATCCTAATCTAGTCATCCGCCTTTTGTATCGTCCTGTTTATTTATACGTGAATGTTGTGTATATATTTTGATCTCCGATGACTGAGCAGCCATGGTTGTTGGTTTATACCAACTAAAAATAAACCATGTTTATGTAAGAATTTGTTTGATTGCCTTATGAGATCGGATTTGTGGCAAAGAAGGATCGATTTTAAATGTTTATGATTTAGATAAAGCAGGGCAGGTTCAATGAAGAAACTTGATTGCGTGTTTCATGTTTATGGAAGTCAATGTGGATTGTTAGTAGTCTGCATTGGGTGCAAGAAGTAAGGGGTGGGGATGGGAGGAGGGTTGAGGAATTGTTAACTTAGAAAGCACTTTGCCGTCTCATGGCAATGGTTCTGTCTATAGGTTTGTTGCAAGGTAATATAAATAAATGGTTTCAGATGATTGACTAGATGTGTGCTAGTTAGGTTTGTGAGTTCTACTTTGATTTGCCTTATGGGCCATTGAAGTTATTGACACTTCACATTACTAATTCTATTACTATACTAGGTGGGATATTTCGATTGTAAAAGTGATTCTATTCATTTTATGAATTACTCTCTTGGGACGCCAAGTTTTGGAAAAGAGTAATTCAATATATTCTATGCTACTTGTTATCAGGGAATCTGGTGGTGCTCGGTAAGTATCGAGGCCAATATTTTACAGATGTAAATATGAAGATGAAGTGGTATGTAAGCTGCCGTGAGAATCAGATTCTTATAAAGAAGTCCATCTATCTATATTATGTTCTCATATGTGATGCTTATGGTTGATGCTATTATGAGATGCCTAGTTCTTTCTGAAATTTATTTTGGAGGTGCATTGAACTCACCGAGGCACATTCTTTATTTTGAATTTGATAATATATGTAATTTGACAATTACGTGATTGGTACAAAAGTTCCTTTAGCATTTAAACACATTCTTCAATTGGTAATTAATTTCACATATCTCTTCTAATAGTTAATTGATTACTGCTTTTGCATGTCAATTAAGCATAACTCTATACATTTTTGCTCACTTGTAGTGAAATTTATCAAGTAGGTCTCGTGCATAGTCATCTTGATGAGGTTTTGGTATTTGAAGAACGTCTATGTAGTTTATCATTCTCATTTTTGTGCTTACTGTTTTCTTTTTACTGATTTGTTTGTACAAAATGTTGATCGTTCAGTTTTTTTTTCCAATAGCCTCTTTATTTTAATTTTTGCATTTATTCTGTTTGTCTTATTCTAGAGTAACGATTCCCGATTTGAGCTTCATGAGCGTGTTCGTTACACCCGAGACCAGCTGCTACAACTTAGGCAGGTAATGCTTTAAACGATGCATTTGAGCTTCTTTATATGGTATAATTGTGTAAACGATTATTCAACCTGGTTGTTTATGTGGGTTTGTTTGTTAAGTATTGTATCTCAACTAATCAGTATCAAAATCATATTCAAACATGTCCATCACCAGTTTTTGTTACAGAAGCAGTTTGTTTTAGCATATTCTTGCATTATCTTGAGCATCCTTTTGGTGCTTTTAGTTTAATGCATATTCTTTTACTAAAACGTCTCATGCAGAATCTGCTTGTGTGTTCGCTAGAAATTCTTGATCAAGACATCATTTTCTTGGCAATCTTTGATACGTCTTTTGTCTTTGGTAGGTTGTAGATATCCCAGAAGAGATACTTAAGGTCAAACAAGAAGTGGAAACTGATTTTTTTGGGGAGGCCCAGAACTGGACCAAATCTGAAGGAAATGTAAGCACCAGGCATTCATAGTTACTTTACTGTTATAAATAAAGGCCTATATCTCCTGATTTTTTCAGCATCACAAGTATGCATGTTACCGGTCTTTATTTGTCAAAGCTTAGTTCTCATTTTATATGATGATTTATGTATTTGCAGTCGTCAATTCAGCCCCAGACTCGCTACTCTGAGCCTGATAACCGGGACTGGCGTGGACGAGCTCCTCCTCCTGTGGAGGAGAGATCTTGGGATGCTGGTCGAGATAACAGGGACTTTGGTCGTTTTGATAATAGGCAACCTGATGGGAATCAATATAATAGGCAAGAACCGAACTCACAATTCGGTAGAGCACAGGTCTCTTCTAACCAAGGGCTTTTTCAATAAGATCTTTAATTTTTTATAATCTTTCCATAGAAACTTCCTTGGTATTTTAAATGTTTTACTTATCCTCCTAATTGTTTTTGGATTTGTAATTGAATTAAGTCAACTGTTATAAGCCTGTGCTAATACGTTCTGCTTTGTCCATGTTCAGTGTTTTTGGTTTACTAGTTTGGCGTTAAAGTTAAGTTGGTTTTCTATTTCTTACAACAGACGGGTGGCCCTGCTCCTGCTCTTGTTAAAGCCGAGGTACCCTGGTCAGTCCGGAGGGGGACTCTTTCTGACAACGATCGTGTCTTGAAGACAGTAAAAGGGTAAACGATTAAAATGGAATTTGTGTTCTATTAGGCTCAGACTGTAATTACTTTCTCAGTTCTGAATATAGCATGAAAGAATTTAAGACATCTTTCACCCTTTTTGACTTTCAGTATCCTGAACAAGTTGACTCCGGAAAAGTTTGATCTCCTCAAGGGCCAACTTATTGACTCAGGGATCACGACAGCTGATATTCTAAAGGTTTGTGTCTATTCTTGTGATATGTATCATTAATATTTATCCTTCATAGTGTATTGCGGCTGATGGAATACAGAAATGATATGGTTACTTTATACAATTCAGGGGGTTATCTCGTTGATTTTTGACAAAGCTGTTCTCGAGCCTACATTTTGCCCTATGTATGCCCAACTCTGTTCCGATCTCAATATGAAGCTCCCACCATTTCCATCTGACGAACCTGATGGCAAGGAGATCACATTCAAGAGAGTACTGTTAAATAATTGCCAGGAAGCTTTTGAAGGTGCTGACAAGCTGAGGGCAGAAATAAGGCAGATGACTGCCCCTGAGCAAGATGCAGAACGTAGAGATAAAGAAAGAATGATTAAACTTCGTACTCTTGGAAACATCCGTCTAATTGGTGAGCTGTTGAAGCAGAAAATGGTTCCAGAAAAGATCGTTCATCACATTGTTCAGGTCTCATTCGTGCCCTTACTGTTTCTAGACCATTCTTAATTACAGCAATTGTTAATCAAGTTACTGGCTGAAATTATGATATTTACTCGATAAATGGCGCAATTGGCAGGAGCTTTTAGGACCTGACAATAAAAGTTGCCCGGAGGAGGAAAATGTGGAGGCGATATGCCAATTCTTTAACACCATAGGCAAGCAACTCGATGAAAGCCCGAAATCAAGGCGTATTAATGATCTTTACTTCAGCCGACTGAAGGAGCTGGCGACAAATCAACAGCTAGCTCCACGAATGAGGTTTATGGTTCGTGATGTTATTGATCTCAGATCAAACAACTGGGTTCCAAGGCGGGAAGAGGTAGTCTTTTGGTCCATTGGTTATCTTTTAGTATATGTGTGTGTTCAAGCTAATTTAATGTCGAATCTTCTTTTTGTGCAGATGAAAGCCAAGACCATTACGGAGATTCATACTGAAGCAGAGAAGAACATGCGGCTCCGTCCAGGTTCAACTTCAAGTATAAGAAACAACCGTGCTTTGGCTGCTGGAGCACAAGGGAGTTTAAGCCCCGGGGGTTTCAATCGACCTGGTACAGGTGGCATGATGCCTGGAATGCCAGGGGCCCGCATGATGCCTGGTGCGCCTGTAATAGATAACGATAATTGGGAGGTCCCTAGGTCCCGCTCTATGCCTAGGGGTGATGGTGCACGTGTTCAGGCACCATTCCCTGGCAAATCTCCGTCACCAAGTCAAAAATTTCTTCCTCAGGGTAGTGGTGGTGTCATAAGTGGCAAGTCCAGTGCCTTGTTGCAAGGCAGTGGTGGTGCTGCTCCTCTCCCCATCTCTCAGGCGGCAGCTCCTCCTTCTGCTAGACCTGCTCCAGTGCCATCTCCTTCTCCTGCTCCTTTGAGGGCAAAGAATCCCGATGAACTCAAGAAGAAAACAGTTTCTCTCCTTGAGGAATATTTCAGTGTTCGTATACTAGATGAAGCATTACAATGCGTGGAGGAACTGAAAGCACCAGAATATCACCCTGAGTTTGTAAAGGAAGCCATTTCACTTGGCTTGGAGAAAAGCCCACCATGTGTTGAACCCCTCGTGAAGCTCCTGGACCACCTTTTCTTGAAGAAGGTTCTGACCCGAGCTGACTTGATTACTGGATGCCTTGAGTACGGGTCATTGTTGGATGATATCGCGATTGATTTACCTAAAGCACCAAACAACTTTGGTGAGATCATGGGGCACCTTGTGGTGTCTGGTGGGTTAGATTTCAAGATTGTGGAGGGTGTTCTAAAGAAGATGGAGGATGACTATTTTCAGAAAGCCGTTTTTACTGGTGTTAAGAGGGTCGTTAGTTCAAGCCCGTCGGGAGAAGTTGTTTTGGAGTCACAAGCGGAGGATGTTGCTGCGTGTGAAAGCCTAGTCTAAGCTTGGAACGTCTTGAATACAACAGGTGAGTTTTTCGGTGAACTGTATAATCAATCAATCTTGTTTTTTGTTGAGGTTACCATAGAGACATAGTAATGTGTTGTTTGAAAACAAATAGGAGAACTCATGTTGCCATGAATTTTGACATGTCGAGCGTGTTCTTGAGAGAGAGCCGACCGATGACTTTCTCAAGACTTTTTGTTTTACATTTAGTTTTGTGACTTTGGAGTAAAATTTGATTATTGTTGAGACTTGAAAGTTCATAAAAGCAACTGTTGTATTTTATGGAAATCTTTTTGTTTTTTCTCAAGTCTTATGCCCGCTTTTCATGTTAGTAATTGGTATGTTGATATGTAGTCATGAAATGCGCCATTGCCTGGGAATCTTCACGAAATTCCCAAAAACAACTCAGAGTTGGGGGCCGTTTATCTAAACACTTACCCAGTAAGCACTTACCGGTGAAATTCGATACCATCGCTTACCTACCGGGCAAAATTTTATTCATTAAAACGCATCGTATGCAACAATTTATCTCGATAAGCGCTAACCATGGTAAGAGTCCTTGTTCTCACTTACCGGGTAAGACTCAAGATTCTTGCTTTTGTTCTTACCAGGTAAGGTTCTTAGTCTTTTCCATATTCATCCGGTAAGGTAAATTGACTTGTTAAGCGTTTGCCCGCGTAAGCGTTTGATAAACAACACCTTAGCTTTGGTTTGGGGGTAGAGGACTAGCCAATTAAGAAAGAGTTGGGATTTTCAAATTAATATGTTCATAAAATATGTATGTATATATATTTCTGGTTTTTGGATGGGTTGGGTGGCCAGAAATCAAATCCAACCTGAAACCAAACATCCACCATAACCCGGGTTTCGAGATTTTGCACTAATACCTTATTACCGGTTTGGGTTCGAATTTCAAAGCATTCGGGTTTTGCACACCCCTACCTATACCTAATATACCTTAACTGTGGAGTTAGCTTGGTTCTTTTGTTTCGTTGTGGTCCTTGAGTCTTCCTAACACACCCGCTTCCTGGTTTTACTTACTCTTACCGGTAAAGATTTACCAAATAAAAATGTTGCATACGATGTTGTCTTAATGAATTAAAATTTTATCTGGTAAGTTAAGTGAAAGGGTTAGACTATTACCGGTAAAGTGAGAGCTTACCCCGTAAATATTGGGTAAAAGGCCCCTTAACCTCGATTGTGGCATACGTTGGCCTTTTATCGTTTTTAAATTGACATCTATTTTAATATAGTTTTTCATTTGCTTTTTTGTGTTTCTCCGGTTCTTTTTTTTCCTTGAAGGTTCCTTCTAAGATATTCTCCATATGCATACATACATTTTGGGGGGG